ACTCACTCACTCACACACACACTCACTCTCACTCATGCATGCGCACACACTCACTCACTCACCTCCCTAGTTTCAAACACACTTCATCCCTTTGATCTCTCCAATGGATGTTTGATTATTTGAGTCAGCAGAAGTACAATATTTGTGTTTGTTAGAGAAAGTTTATGTATTTACATGGAGAAGGGTCAGTATCTTAGTCATAATAATAATAATATTAACATTCAAACACTACTACTAATAATAATAATAATAATAATAAACATTAATTTAATTTATTTACTTGTTAGACAATGTTCCATGCAATAAGCAGAGTAATGTTCCAAAAAAATGGACATGGACAACCAAAATTAACAAAATAATCTAGGTTTAAGGCCACAAACAGTGTGAATGCAAAGAGAGCTGGTTCTTTTTTCACTTTTTGGTCCACTTAAAGATTTATCAAAGGGTTAGTTCACCCAAAAATGATAATTCTGTCATTAATTACTCACCCGCATGTCGTTTCAAACCCGTAAGACCTTCGTTCATCTTCAGAACACAAATTAAGATATTTTTGATGGAATCTGAGAGCTGTCTGACCCTGCATAGACAGCAAGGGTACTACCACGATCAACGTCCAGAGACGTAGCAAGGAGATCTGTAAATTAATCCATGTGACATCAGGGGTTCAACCGTAATATTACAAAGCTACGAGAATACTTTTTGCGAGCAAAAAAAGTAAAAAAAAAAAAACGACTTTATTCAACAATCCACTGAACGCAAACAGCGTATGCTATTCTGTGTCAGCTGCGCCACGCGGATACGTTTTTTACGTTGTTTGTGCTTTGATTTGAACGATATCAACATATCCGTGTGGTGCGGCTGATACAGAACAACATACGCTGCTTGCGTTCAGTGGATATTCTCCAAAATGGCGCTAGGGTGGAGGCGAATTGTTGAATTACGTTTTTTTTTTTTGCGCACAAAAAGTATTCTCGTAGCTTCGTAAAATTACGGTTGAACCCCTGATGTCACATGGATTATTTTACGGATCTCCTTGCTACGTTTCTGGACCTTGATCGTGGTAGTACCCTTACTGTCTATGGAGGGTCAGACAGCTCTCAGATTCCATCAAAAATATCTTAATTTGTGTTCTGAAGATGAACGAAGGTCTTACGGGTTTGGAACGACACGAGGGTGAGTAATTAATGACAGAATTTTCATTTTTGGGTGAACTAACCCTTTAAAGATCACCCAAGTGTAAAATCACCTTGTTAGGGGCAGTTTTGTCACGATTTTCTTTTCTCTAAATCTGTTTCACAGGTAAATCAGTCTGTCATGGCCAACAAGCTCCCATAGATCGCCCTCCACACTGAGCTCTGACTTCAGATGGCTGAGGGCTCTCCCTCACAATTACCAGGGCACTGAGAGCCAGTGACTTTTAATTAGAAAGACCAATATGCTTTGCTAATTCCCGCTGCCTCAGAACAGGAAGATCAATGAGCCGAGAGGACACGTCGTACAGAGAACCAAAGGTTTGTTCTGGAGAACAGCTCTAGATGTAAGAGCACAGAGAGCTTCGAGCAGCCTCACACAAGGCTTTTGTGCGAATGTAAGAGAGATTCCCTCAGGAAATGAAACGATGAGGAAAGAAAGCATCTCTGCTGTATTCATATATGCACGGCCATATGGGGACTGTCAGAGAGCGATCTACTGGGCATTCGTCACAACACACCTGCTTCCCTGCACACACACGGCTGCTTGTGTCTGTTTCTGCTTTTACAGGCCCCTTTCATCTCCTTTTCTCAACTACAAAACTCCAGGGTTAAAACACAATGCACTGCTGATCCGAATGACATGGAACAATCTGTTCAGCACAATTCAGCATCACAGTTTAGGGACTAATAACTGTAGTAACCATGCATTTTAATGAAGACTACAGATGACATGGTGAATTTTCAGAAAGTATATTCTTCTTTCTCTGGTCACTATTATTATTTTTTTCCCATCTTAATTCATATGCCATTCATCCTCCTCTATTTCTGGTTGATTTCCAAGCCGGCCCATTGTCAGGATGCTGCTATAAGCAACAGTCTTTCTCTCTCCATTTCTGTCTCTCGGGGCTCGATGGCCACTTAGCTGAAGGGACAATGTATTCGGGCAAAGGAGCTGTAACTGAGGGAATTGCCTATAGTCTGCAGAGACGTTGTGAGATTACTCTTGAATTTACTGAATGAATCCAGCTTGTCACAGTGGCTTGGATTTTAGTTACAATACAGAACCTGATCTCCACTGAGACCCTGGGGTCCTAGTTCAGGCCAAGAAGTGTTCACTGCTGCTTTCGCACTTGGTCTGATTGGTTTTTATTTATTTATTTATTTTTTTCTGTTTTTTAAGCCCGATCCGGACCCGAAATCTTTTTTTTTCCCCACAACGAATAGCCAATTTAAAAAGCACAATAAGGCTTAGTTACTTCAAAAACAGCGATTTAACCCCTTATTGCAGATAAATATAACGTTGCGAGTCAGTAGCCTGTCGAAGCAATTTTACTAATAAAAGTTTCCATGCTGTGTTGTTGTTGTCGTGTGCAATAATGTGTGTGCGTGCATCTATGAAAGCAGCGTAGCCTACTGCATATAGTTTTAGTTTAAACCCGAGCCCGACCCGAACCCGAAGCTATTCA